GTTGAAATGTTCCAAGCAACATGAGAAAAAAAGAAAAACTTTTTGAAAAACTAACAGTTCTGTACTGTTTTTGTGTGGCTGTTGTCACATGCAATGCCAGTTATCTGACCATTGTTGCATGTGACAATGGTCATGCAAATTTCTGTGTTCTGAGACAAATGTCTCAGAAGTCAGAACACAGAAATTTTCTTCTGTGACAAATGCCATGAAAATTCTGCATTCTGAGACAGTTGTCTCCAAACATAGATATTATCTTATGTGATGATGGTAAAATGATCATTGTCACATGTGACAAATGCCATACAATTTCTGTGTTCTGAGACAGTTGTCTCAGAACACAGAAATTTGCTCATGTGTTGACAGTCCAATGACTGTTTTCACATGTGACAAAGGTTGTGAAGAATTCTGCTGCTGAGACAATTTTTGTGCCTTGTTTTTGACACTTTTGTTGGCAATTCCTGAAGTTTGAGACTTTGGGATTATATTTCCAAAAAATGCATGATGAAACCATCTGGAAACAGTTAAGCCATCAAAAGGATGGTTCCTCCAAAATTGGCAGGGAGTCCCACTGTTGTATGAGGGACTGAATTTCTCAAAAACTTGGGAACCTGATGCTTTACAACTCAGCACCCTGCCAAAAAACAAAAAGGTGGAAGACCTGTGACAAATTTGCCTGACAGAGATCAACATCTCATTCTCATGGGATTTTTCTCTTGAAAAGTCATTTCCCAAAAAATTTGCGTTTTCAGGAACAAAATTTAATGTACCATATCCTGATAAATTAGCCTGCAACAGCTGGGCCAAATTAACTGGGATCAGGCAAAAAGGCTCAAAATTGCTGAAAACAACCCCCAGAAAAAGCTGGGGGGAGAAAAAGTGCATAAAAGACAAAGGACAGCACCATTGACATCATCAGAATATGACCCAAATTTTCAGACTCATTGTGCATGTGAAATTCTAGAAAATTTGTGGAAAAACATGGATTTGGATTCTTGTGCAGAATTTGCTGTTGTGAACTTTGCTTTTGATTTGTGTGAAAAAGGTGTGGAAATCTTGTTGGGTGAAAAACATGTTTGTGCTTATCTTCAGCAGGTTGTGCACCTGCCAATTCTTGTTGTATTTATTTCCATCTTTTTATTTTGTGCATACAAAAATTCCACTTTTGTAAAAGACACTCTGCTAAAAATTCGTTGCTTTCTCTTCCCTGCCAGGGATAAAATTTGTACAAAAGTCAATAAATTGCTGTGTTCTGAGGCAATTGTCCCAGAACACTGTTTGTTGTACAAAATGTATTTTTATACTGCAAGTGTGATTTTCCCCCATACATTTATTCAGCAGAATGTTCATTCTACACATGCCGGCAGTGTTATGCAAGGTACTGCTGTATTTCTTGTGTAGAAATATTTGAGCTTAATTTATTCCTCAGAAGTACCACAATGATGTCAGACATGTTGGATTTTAACAAGGGGCATGCAGATCTGCCAGAAGGATTCAGGGATATCAGCATCTCACAGTCAACCATTCATATGATGTGTATGACCACAGAATAGTACACAAAATTCCCAATGTCAATTATCCAGATTCAAACTGAAGCTGAAGACCTCTAATGGTGTCAATAACCAATGTTTACCGTGAAGAGAAACCCACAATTTCACCACTTGCTCAACAGCATCTGAGTTTAGAGCATGAGTTAAGGCTTTTAGAGCATTGCTTTGGAGATGAGAAGTTTGCTTGACCTCATGTTGGGCTTGTTCTGAAAACTTCCACAGCTACTATCCAGGAAGACCAAACTTTGGATCATTCTTAAAATCTGGCAAAGTCATTGGTATATTTCGTTTTGTCTTGTTTTTAACATCATTTTCTGATCTCTCTGTGTGTGTGTGTATAAGAGGAATTAGATCTGGCTAAAGTGGGACTCCTGTGAAGAATTTTTTTCAGAATTGGGAGAAATTCTGGAAACATTCTATATAGCATTACTCCTGCATGATTCTTAAACAGATGGATGATTTTTCCACCCACAAAAATCATCAATTTGTTTTGTGAAACCCATGAATAATTCTTTTGGGGGGGACCAATGCTGCAAAACTTTTCCTGCATAGCAGCCACCCAAAAAAACATCTACAGGTTTCAAAAAAGTGGGCATGATTTTTTTCCAAAACTCTTTTATTCCTTTCTAAAGCAATTAAATGTTCATTTTTTGAATTCAGCATTGGATGAGTGAAGGCAATATGTTAAATATTAACATTGAGGCAGATTATTTATGACTTACTGAGGGGAAACCTAAGGAGTGAAGAGGTTTCAAATGTCATGCATGAAAATATGTGTATATGTGGGCACACCACCATACCCTATTGGCCCATAGCATGCAGCAATATAGGTAGCGCTTGGCCAGTATAAGGTGCTGCATGGGCAACAAAGCTAGAGTTCCTTGGTTTGAATCTCACTTCCCCCAGAGAAACTTGCACATTCACCATCACACCACACAATTCACACAGCACACACACATTCACAAATACAAACTTGAAATGCATTAGAACTGGATAATTTTGACACAAAATACATCAGCATTATACAAAAAATTGATGTTATTTCTAAAAAAAAAAAGAAGTCACTCATTATTTCCAAGCTCCAGAAAAGTTGGTTTGGGAGATTATTTGAATATATTTACCAGTTGGCAGCAGCTATAGTAGCTAATGCAACTCATCACACTGCTAGCTGGCACTCCAGTTGGATCTAGCTCCCTATAGATTGCCTAGAAGACTGGGGCATCATGCAGGGGAACTGTGCAGGAGCTAGCAACAGCTGGGTAATAGCTCCCACTGCGTCTCTTAAGGAGTTGGGGCTAGCACCCAGCAAGAGCCCTCTAGCTGACAGTGAGCTTGCAGCTAACTCTCTGCCTCCCCAATTATTTGCGGAGCATATCTCAGCTATAGTTATCACTTTATAACCAGCATTGTGAAGCCAACAGCATGTACATTATTTAATCACAATGACTTCTTGAACACAGCAAAACAATCTGAAAATGAAATTGTGTAACAACATAAATTAGAAGATAAGATGTTCATTCTTCAAAAGTCAAAATAAAAGTGCTCTTATTTTGTCTTCTCCTCAACTGCTCTGCATCCGCCTTCCGCATGTCACGTCATAGTGCATTTTTGTGGCTCTGTTGGACGTGCGATGTGGTTTCCTTTTTTTCCAGTAGATGTCCCCAAGGGACACACATTACTAGTCTGACTGAAACTGGTGGTGTAGTTTCTCGCCGGAGCAGAACTCTTGGTCGGCCAAACTCTAGGCCACTGCACCCCCCATCCCCTCACTCCCTATTCTCATCACTCTCTCCTTCACGCACACTAGTGACGGACTTGAGGATTNATATGCCTGACATCTAAAAGACCCATGGAACATCCCATAATTTCATTTCCCAAATACATGGAGAAATAATTTTTTCTCACTTGGAGTCCATGCTACACCACTTCCTGCACAAGGGATTTATTCCCGAGTCTTGAAGTCACTCATGCGCGACCACAGGAGAGAGAGTGTTGGCTGCAGAGCGTGAGGGGATGCGGGGCGCAGTGGCAAAGAGTTTAGACGACCAAGAGTTCTGCTCCGGCGAGATGGGGCCTCACCCTGAAACTCAGTGGCCAGAGAGAGCCGCAGTAGAACATGGCGCCTCTCAGTTCCTTCCTCATACCAATCACTGGGTCTATGCTGAATCAGCGGAGTGAATATCCGCGATGAACACCTGGGTGGTTTTTTTGTTTTGTTTTTGAAGTGGTGATAACCTACGCCAAAAAAAAGGTCAATTCCGCGGGAAGTTATTCTTACCTGGGGGCTTTCCAGGGTGGATAGCACACAATTTAACTTTTAAAATGGTATTCCTATGTTTACTCCTGTATTCTGTACTTATTGGATTGGATTTTACTTGTTCAATTTCTTTTACCTTTTATACAAGTACTGTATATACATACTGAATGCATACGCCTCATCTGCCCAATCTTATTCAATCTTAATGTATGCTTGCTCATCGCCCTTATATTCTCCATCATATTTTATGAAAATCTTCATTTTTTCCTTCAAATCATACATGCAGAGCCTGTGTTTGGTAGTGAGCAGGATTTGCAGTTTGTGGTTCTATTTACTTCTGTATGCTCATATGAAATGATGGACCATGACTTTTTGCTGCACGTGGTTTAATTAATTTTCACAAAAGGCCTTGTACAGACCATGATGACACAAAATGTGTGCAAAGTTTATTATGAGGCGTTTCATCAGGTTAAAAGATTGTTGTTGTATTTTCTAGTTGCATTCATTATATAGATTAGGTTAGTAATATACAGTTGAAGCATGCTAAAAGATTGTTCTTCTTATATTTTCTAATTGAATACAGTATAGGATTTTTACTATGCTTTAACTCCTCATAATAAACTTTGCACACATTTTGTGCTTTCATGGTCAGTACTAGGCATCCTGTAAAATAGATTCCCACAGAACTCAGCATTTTTTCTGCCAAAGTGAACGCTTGAAGAATTACCATGGAATTAACTTTCCTCTGAATTCTGTGGAATGAATCTCCGCGTATGTGCTCACTGCGGAAAAGCCTCTGCAGAACTTCACTCTGAGGTTATGGACTGCTCCTCTGTCAGGACTCAGGAGGAGCATGCCGTGTCTAAGGAGCACAGCACACCCTTCCTTGGAAGTGTACCATAATGTCCGGGCACCCCTTCTACTACTGTATTTCTGGAACCGTGTATGAGTAATGTACCCCAAAGTTTGTAGAAACGTTTATGTGGGCGATTAGCTCTCATCAAGTAGTATTGTCAGCAGTGTGTTTTCCTCTCTGCAATACCATGTACCGTGCGGGTGGAGTAACTCCAGAGCAGTATTTCATTGATGATGCGGACACTAAAACAGCTCAATAAATTATGCAGAGAACATTTCGTTCATGAGCTCCTTGCAGATGGTCTAGCGGAAGCAGCTGAATACTCAGTCGAGTTCCTACGATTTACCAGGAAGCGTGGATTCGTGTGATGCTAATGCTACCAGCGTGACCACGAATTGGATCGTTTTCAAGCATGTTACAGGACACCCATGTGCCCGAATGCTTGTTCTTAATGTCGAGTCGGATTGCTTCGATTGATTTCCTGTTAACGTGCGATCGCAGATAGTGAATCGATAGTTTCAGGGGCAGAATCAAGGAAAATGAATCCTGCTAGCGTGAGTACCAATATTTTTCTCAACTTGAGACACATCGCAAGTATAAAATTCTTCCCAGGTTTCTGCCCCTCATCAAGCAATTTACGACGCCTACTACCGAATTGTGAGTGGAATTATTGAAGATCACGTTGAATGATTACCTCTTGATTGTGCGTATTTCTTAGGTTGATCCCAGACAGACTGGTAAAGTCGCTGCCAGAGATGCCGCAGGATTTCTGAAGAAATCTGGGTTAAGTGATGAAGTCCTTGGTCAGGTGTGTGTCTGAGTATGGATTCACTTGAGCTCAACTTTTTGCTGATAGTGGCGCGTGTCTTAGATTTGGGATATTTCCGATGTCGGCGCCAAGGGCTATCTGGACCGTCAAGGAATGTTTATGGCGATGAAGTTGGTCGCTGCTGCTCAAAATGGCAGCGCCGTTTCACCTACTCAGCTGGGAACAAGTCTTCCTCCTCCTAAATTGGTTCGGCCCTTATTGAAGCTAATTGTTTGAATTCCCTGTAAAATTAATGCATCCGTAGGGAGATTTGCCGAATCTGAACAATGATGTCGTGAGTACTGCTCCTGCGAAGAAGTGGACAATGCGTTCAGATGAGAGAGCCAAATACGAGCAAATGTTCGTTGCCTGCAATCCATCGCAAGGGAAAATTCCTGGATCTACGGTAAGTAAGCTTAGTTAAAATCCTGAGCATCGATCATCAAGATGGAATATTTGTTTATAGGTGAAGCCGCTTATGCTGAAATCGAAGCTACCTGTGGACACCTTGTTGAAATTGTGGGATTTGGCGGACATCGACAAAGACGGCGCATTGGATAAGGACGAGTTTTTAATTGTGAGAGCGCGAGGTGATTTTAAACTACGTCTGGGTGATTGAATATTCTTTGCCTTCGTAGGCCATGCACTTGGTTGCTAGGTGTGTGGAAGGGGCGGTCGCGCCCACGACTCTCCCACCTGAGCTAACGAAGGGGAAGATTTCCGACCCTTTCGAAGGAACAGGAGTGAAGTCCGGAAGTAGCAGTACGCTGCCATGGGTCGTTTCCGCGACGGAGAAGGCCCGTTACGATGAAATGTTCAAGACCGCCGACTTGGACAAGGATGGTTTCGTGTCTGGTGCTGAGATTAAGGATGTTTTCCTCAAGTCGGGGCTTGCGAACAATGTATTGGCTCATATATGGTGAGTGTGTCTGTGTGTGTTTGGAAGTGATAGATTTGTTTTCATAATTTGCATGAGATTAACTTGGCATTACTGGGAGTTTTGAATCAACGGTGTGATTGTATTGAATATGAAGGAGCTTGTGCGACATGAAGCAAGTCGGGAAGCTGAATGCAGAGCAATTTGCCCTGTCACTGTGGTTGATCGGGAGGAAAGTGGCAGGACAAGAGCTGCCAACGACTCTTGCACCGGAAATGGTTCCGCCGACTTTCCGGCCTAAACCGATTCCGGGACCTACGAATGTGTTCAGCAACAACAACAACATGAGCAGCAGTAGTGGCCCAATGAGTACACCTGTTTCACAACCTGTACACCACCCAGGCCCTCCACACCCACCGCCGCCCCACATGGGTGGTGGTCTGCTCGATCTGGTTTCCAACACCCAGCCTGCAAGTGTGAGTGATGAAATTGATTTTTACGTTCGGGCTCCTTGCATGATGTTCATCGATCAATCTCCTCGCAGGAGCCTGTATCTGCAGTCACGCCATACACCAACCCCGAATTGGAAATGATGAGCAAAGAAATCGAGCTGCTGATGAAGGAGAAGAACGTTCTGGAGGCTGACATGATGCAGAAAGAGGCTGACTTTAAGATCAAGAGTGGTGAATTGCGGACACTACAAGTGAGCAACGTTCAGTTTGTGAGGTAGATCGTGAATAAGCCAGAATTTTTTGTGCAGACTGAGCTGGACACTCTGACAAATGCTCTCAAGCAGTTGGAGAACCAGAAGGGTATGGCTCAGCGACGCCTGGATGAACTGGAAAGCCAGGTCGGCTTTCTTTCTCGCCCTTTTTTCAAGTCTTTTTCTGTCAGTCCGTTTTTCTCGTATCACTTTCTTTTCGGTTATTCAGTATGCCATTTTAAGTTGTAGTCTCGATGTAGCTTGAAAGTTTATGTTCAATATTCTGTAGAAAACTGCATATGAGAGCGACATTGCAGAAATACGGCGGAAATTGGAGGCTGAGAGAATCGAGGTAATGATTTCGTTTTATTTATTTATTTTTTTCGATGAGATTCTTTTCGTTGGCGCATGTTTTTGTGTGCTTTTTTTGGTAATTACATCTCGGTTGACGTCAGAATCTATTAAAGATGACTCGGCGCGGAAGCCGACGGTTCTGATTTGTTGGGGTCCTGAAGAAGGAAGCGTGACTAAGCAAATTTCGTCATAAAACGGCATTATTGATGCCCTGCTTAAACTGCTGGTGTTGTTGAAAAGGTGGAAAAATTGAAGGCGCAAGCGGACGAGCAGGAATTGGAGCTGAAGCAACAGGAGGAAGAGTTGTTTTCCAAGAAATCTGAGCTTGACAAGTTGCGCGGCGAGGAGTGTCGCTTGGAAGAAGCCGTTTCCGCGCAACGCGCCAGGCGGGATGCGCACGTAAAGGAGCTGGCCAACACACGCCTCGAGTTGGCCCGCGTTCGCCACGAAGTGGGCTGCTTACAGGCAGACGAGGCCAAGTTGACGACGGCTATGGCCGAATTCGACGATGCCCTCAGAGGTGGTGATGACGCGCTGCTGTCAGTGACTGACGCCGCTCTAAACGACGTCTCGGCAACCATGTCGATCGAGGAGCTTCCCGGTCAGCAGAATTTTCTCAACAACAACGATCGACCGCGGTCGGACGACTTCTCGCCCGCTGGTGGAGGACCCCACATGTTCGAGGTGAGAGGCGACGAGTCATTACCCATGCAAATTCCGGGTTTCGCCTATTTCGTAACTTCGCATTGACAGGACTGTGCGTGATCTTCTTGTGAAATTTACTTCTGTTCATTTGTCTTTTTCTCTGCAACCAGGACGAAGACCCGTTCAAAAATCAGGACCCGTTTGCGAATCACAACGGTTTCGATGTGGCGGGAGGCGTTCTCGAATCCGGACGTCCGATCAATAATAACGTGGATGATGACGAAGACCACGTTTTTCACAGCGCTTCGGATGATCCGTTCAGAGGAGGTGCACTTCACGTTCTACTTGCCCTGTCTGTTCTCACCTCTGTTTATCTCACTATTATAGTTTTGCCTCTTTTCATTGTATTGTTTTTTCTCCCTCATTTACCTCTTCCATTCTTTTCTTCGTTTTTCGTTGAGGATGGTTTTCCATTTCGATAGTTGTTTCAGTTGCTTATCCTTTCTCATTGTTCAGTTGACCCATTCGGGGGGGACCCGTTCCTGTCTCGTTTTGAGGCGCCGATCTCAGTGACCGTTGGGTCCGCACAGGGCGCTGATTTTTTTTATGGTTAGTCATTCCGCTTGTTATGAGTTGAAAAAGAAAAGTGACCACGGTAGATTTCGAGATACTGTGTTGGGGTGTCTTGTCTTCGACTCACGCGTTTTATTTTTGTGGCATGCGTGAAGCAGAAGGAGGTCGGCGGACGGAGAGCGTGTCCCCAGCGCCGGCCGTGCCCGCTCCCGCGAAAAAGTCTTCGTCGAGCTCTGGACCACCGCCTCGCCCAGCGCCTCCGAGAAACGCGCCTGGACGCCCGCCACCGCCGAAGGCGTCACCATCTGCTAACCAACAGATTGCGTTTGATCCGTTTTCCGACAAACATTCTGACGCCTCGCAAGACGGCGGTGGCTGGACAGCCAACTTTGCCGACTTTTCTGCATTTGATCAGGTGAGGCATGTTTTTGCACGTGCCGTGGTGTTTCCTATTTTAAAATCCTTCGTCCGATGAAGACGATAATTTCCCGTATACGAAGGGTCCAACAGAAGTTCTTGGGACAGAAGCTGAAATGACGCATACTTGACCCGAAAAAAAAAATTGTTTTGAAGAAACATTCTTAAGCTCAAGAATATAGCCCTATTTTTTTCAGGTAAAAAAAAGATCTATATATATATATATATATATATATATATATACACTGTAAATATATATATATATTTTTTTTTTTAGCCCAGCTTTTTCTCCGGAACTCTGAAATCTACGTGGTATTAATCTCAAGGTTTGCCTGCTGGTCTTCCTATCTTATTTCGTCATTTTTATTAGCAGTAGCCACCTTCTCATTATCTTATTCCAAGTGTCAGCTGTGAAGGCGACTGTTGATGAAAATGGCGGCAATACTTGTAATTAATTTCGCGTCAATTTCAAGAATTCTGAAGGGAAAGCTGTGCTACGCCAAAATATTTGCTAGATTGGCGCCTTATTTTTTGAGTGAAGAGCAGAAAGCTGACAGGGTGACTTTCGCAGCAAAAAAAAAAGTTAAACATCGCAGATTTCTCTTACTTGTTCCGAAGACTGTTTCAGCTCAATCCTACGCAGTTTCAATTTCTACTCCGAGATCGTTGGACCCTCTTCATTGAAAACTTAGTTTACAGTGTCTATTAGCCCTGATTCACAAAATGAGCAAGTAACCGTTGACCTTGATAATCGACATAAATGACCCCTCTCAATTATCCCCGCCCTTGTTCAATGTGTACCCCTTTTTGGCGTATTCGCCTGCTGCCAAAATGTGGAACTCGCCGCATAAATGGACGGTTTCTTCATCTATGGACGATAAAATCAAATATAAACTAAGGAATTTGAGAGTTGTATTGACGGTACTGTACGGGGGTTTTTTTGTTTTGTTTTTTGGAGACGATCGCGTGTATATTGACAATTGTTGATCTAACCTTTCGTGTTCCATTTTCCTATGCTGCCTCGTCCTGGGATCTCGACTAATCGACTGCTTTGGGTGACGCTCTACTTTTCCCCTCTTAACCGACCGATTTTGAAATGTGATGAAACTGAAAGCATTAATTATGGATGGCATTTCGTTTTCAATGAATTGGGATCAACAGAGAAAGAGATTAAAGAGTGAGGGAAATGAGCAGATGAGAAAGACAGAGGATTGAGTGCCGATTCCCGTTGTATCAAAACTATGGTGTTCAAAGAAAAATGGGAGCATTAGAGGTATCTCGGCTCTGTCTCGCTCGTTGCTGGATTGGTTTTGGGCTCGTCTCATCGAGCTGTACGGTTTTCGTCGTTTTGCTCTGAGCAATGGAGTTGTGTCTCACGCTGGAAAGCAGATGAACTCGTCGCCGTCGCCGTGGATGCCGATAGTCGGCGGATTCGACGGTGGTGCGGGGACGACGACGACGAAAGCGAGTGGTGGATGGACGGACCCGTTCCTGAGTGAAGACGACCAAGTGGCGTGGGCCAAGTTCGACAGTATGAAGTTGGATGAGCAGCGACGAACGGAGTCGCAGAAGGAGGAGGCCGAGCTCCAGATGGCCATCAACTTGTCCCTGTCGGACACGAAGGCCAACTGAGGACTGGAAGAGATATAGAGGACATCCTGTGAATTGGTCAGTGAGTCAATGTGGTGCAATACGCCCTATCGTTCTTTTCTTCAGTGTATGTACGTATGGTGCGGTGTGCGGCATTACCACCCTGTTTCTTCGCTGAAAACTTGGTTTTTTTTTATTTCTTCATCACTGTAATGAAGCGGGCGGAGAAATAACTAGCCTTCGCAGAAACACTGGATATCGGTCGAATGTTGTTGAGGCAAGGAAGCGCTCTGTAACATTTATTGCGGAACATTCTTCCGTTATTTTCCACCCGCTATTGCGCGATATTGATCTATGTGATTCATGAAATTTTGTTTTGCTTTTCGCTTTATGGTCAAGTGAGTACGGTAGGTGTTGGGGGTGATGCTGGTAGTGTTGCTGACATTGACGGGGCAAAATGGTGGGATTTTTTTTCAATTTTGCTTGTTTTTTTTTAAACCGGTCTTAATTTATGTTGTTACCGGGCGGGAGAGGAAGAAGGAAATGAGGGTCGCGAGGGCCGTCGGCGTCACGTTTCTACCTCGATTGCGATGCTTGAATCCTTGCACCCGCGTTTGGGTGAACGAATTTGCGGGAACTGTGTTCGTTCGTCCTTCCGAATGTAGTGTACTGTATTGTGGTCGTGTGCGTGCACCGGCATTCATATATTTTTTTTTGCCCGTCACCATTTCGGCAACTAGGGCGTTGCAAATACATCATTCCGTGAAGCGTGAGTCGCCACTGTTTACGACGGCTGAACTAAGTTTCCAAACTTATCAAGTGTACTGTACTCTCGACGTATCCACTCCTACGACGTTTTTGTTGCATGCATGTGAGCGGAGTCAATGCAAGTGACGTGTCACAACCATGCGCACACGTTAAACGTGTTTTGACTGCAGATTTTCTTCTCTCTTTTTTTTGGCCTGTGTAACTTGCTTGTGTTCCAAAAAGGCGAGAAAATGTTGGTGGGGAGCGAGTCAAAGGAGCAAAGGCCCTGGGAAAGCAGATATCACGAAAGAGAGGGAATAAATCGATAGAATTGCGACCGAAATTGGAGTGTTTTTTTTTTAACAGTGGAGTAAGGATTGAGGCTTGATTGATTGGTTGACGACTGACGGTTTTGACTTATTCACCGCGCACAGGAAGAGGATTGAGGCTGTGTTTACGATTGAGTGAACTGACAAAGATGAGTGTGTCCTCGTCTTTTGGGTGTCCGGCGTGCGCAGGGCGCTTCCCGTTTATCGAACGGAAGGTGGGTCGTCGGCTGATGCTGGTGGGGGAGAAAAGGGGATTCATTTCTTATCCCGTTGTTGTTACTGAAGAACTGTTTGTCTTTTACCTCGGGCAGCGGCACAGTTGTTGGCATTGCGAAGTAGACTTTTGCGACGGATCTTCGGTGAAAGAGGTGGTGCGAAGCGAAACCGCGCCACCATCCAGCGCCTGCCCGAGTCGCAAGTCACGCGATTCTGTAATTGTTCCATGTGTGATGTCACAGGAAAAAAAAAAAGTTGGTCGACTTGATTTTACGACCACTTCGGTCAACGGTATGAGTATGAGATGACGAACAACGGCATCCGGGTCTACGCTGCGGATGTCGTTGTAGCAGACGGGTAGGGGGTAACCTCTGGCGACGATTCCCCCCTCCGTTGATGGAAACACTATGAACCACTGCTTTCCGTTCCCCAGGTGATGACGGACGGGGCATTTGATCATCCGTTTCTTCCACTTTTGAAAGCATTCTGTGTGTGTTTTCCAGTGACGTCGCTAACCCCGTCACGGAGACTGGATTGGATGGAACTGCGGTGACGGTACTCGTACCGACCGACTCTGCGGCGGACCCGGACTTGACGAGCTTGACGGAAAAGCGGCGATTGAGGTATTCTCCCGTGAGTACAGCAAGTTGAAATTGCTGAGTACAGTAAATTAACCCTGGAGGGGTGCTCAATCTTGACTCCCAATCTACCCTTCTCTCTCATTTTTTTAATTGGCCGATGTTTATGCAATTCTATTCCCTTGTTCACGTATCCTTGCATGCGATTAATTTTTTGATCGAGCAATTTGCTTCTGAGTACAGTATGTTCATTATTTTTTAATGCATACGAATACAGTCAAACCCCGATTTAGTGCCACCATCCGTCCCAAGACATTTTGTGGCAGCAAATCAAGGGAGTAGTAAAAAAAAATTCTTTAAAATCTTAAATATTCGGAAAAAGAATGATTAAGACATCATGATGTACCACTGATTCCTATCTATTGGGAAGTGAGCCATACAAACGGAATAAAATGTAGCTCTACATGGATTAAACTTTGATAACTCAATGCATTTTCATGAAAAAGTATACTGAAAATTGATATTTATGTTTATATTGAAAAATATTGCTTCTTGGATCAATAATTCATCTACCATGATAAAAAATATAAGATGTTCTTCATGGGTTATACCAGCACATTTTCTAGAATTATTAACGATTTAAGTCGGCCGGCAGAAGGTGTTCTGGAAATTTGGTGATCCACAAACGATTTTATTGAAATTTGCCGGCCTGCTGCCCCAAGAAGGTTGTGGAACACTACTAATATACAGCATACACTAAACTTACTAAAGCATGCACAGCACGTGGACTCTCTTACGATCACTTATTCATACCACACAAAAAATCTTCGTGCTACGAAGGATCTCATGCTAGATTATACCTATACTTACATTACGAGATGTCAAGTTTTTCAAACTCACGGATGAAGAAAACGGAATCCGACAATATAACTTAATTATCCTGAGATCCCGAGAAACATTGTTAGCATGGAAAACGTTCTTTGAGGCACCATACATAAGAAATCATACTTGTGTAAAAAAAAAGGCATGAACATTTTTGTAAGGCTTGCACTTCTTTTCTTATTTTTGGGAATCAACGTTGGCGCCAGGATTAGTACAAAAGTGATAACTTGCTTTTCAAGTTCAAGAGCCTCTGCGTTTAAATATAATTTGGCATCTGCTATTTGTTGGTCTAAAATTCCATTGTTTTTGGCATAGAATTTGCCCAGAAACTCTGTCCTCCGTCTCCGAACATATCTCTCATCGATCTAGATGTGCTTGTAAAGGAAGAATGAAGATCAATTGTGTAAATGAACCTTTGCCTTCAATGTCAGCATCCTGGAAACTCAATTAAAAATAAATTTAAGGACCAGAATACAGTATCACCATTTAAAATTTCTTATAATTTGTCCTTATCTCCCCCCAAATGCTTTTGTCTCTCCTACTCGATGCCTCCCCAACTCAAGTGTATTTCCTGGTTTCTTCAAGTTCGACTGTAAAACTCTAATTTCTTGAAGCTTATTCGGTTTGTGTTCCATGTAATTCGGTCTATACTCGCCCGTACCCAATATTCTCACAAATACGGTAACCTGACGGTTAAACCGAATTTTTTTTTATTAAAAACGCGCGGAAACGACCAGAGCCATTGAGTAGAAATTAAACTTGAATTCAAACGGCGGATTTCGGTCAGAAACTAATATCCAACATATCTCACCAGCAGATGAGGAACCTTCGGCAGAGTTCTGCGAAAAATCGTGGACACCGTTGATTCCCGTCTCAGCGCCGGTCTCCACATCGGTTCTGCGACGACACTACCCATGATGTCTTTTCAAGTGCTGCTGAATGTGTCATTTACGGCGGACATGAGAGCTGCATACGTCACATTTGTGTCTTTGCCTCTCGAACCAGACTTGTGATACTCCACGTGTGGTTTCCATTGATGAACCGAGTCCGTGCCGAAGAACAAACCCATCTTCGCGGTTGAACATCCTCACATTTCTCCCTCAACTCAGTCTTTTCGTCGGCTTGGCAGATGATATTTTCTCTGGCACCTTCAAGAAGGTACAGAGAGGTTATTCAAAGGAAAAAAAGAGAAATACGTCATTATTTGAAATCCAACCATTCCCATCCCAGTACAGTATTTGTCATTAGCAGGGCCCATTTATTTTTCCTGACGCACTCAAGCGGTATAAAAGAATCCCGTGAGCCTCCATGAAGCTCTATTCGTCTTCGTGTGACTCGCCTCGTGTCCGACGAAATGAATGAAGTGCTAATTTTATGCTTGAATTCCACCAAGAGTAGAAATACTTGCAAAGAGCTGCCGAACTTCTCTTTCAGTTATCTTTCTCCAAGAATTTTCCGACAAAATGAAGCCATAGGAATCCTATTTTAATTAGGACACCAGTCTCTTACTGCATTTCTCGACAATACAAGATAAATCGTTGATATTATCAAAATAATTTTCAATTAAAAATGAAAAAAACAGGATATCATAAAATTACTCGTGATAAGTGCAGTCAGTGATGCGATTGCCAAACTTATTCTCATTGAACACCACCAAAAAGCTTGAAGGAAATTCTGAGAGATATTAAAATGATATTCATTTTTTAAAATCAGCGTTTTTGTTTCCGTGACATGCGACAGTTACTGTTGTCGCATAGATTCCAGACTTCATCAGGTTATACGCGGTGAATTTGACTCCTTGAAGGTAATGGTGATGTTCAACGTCATGGCATTTCTCTCAACCTGTCCAGAAATATTTTTATTCAACGAATTTCATCAGAAGATGACAGCAACTCTCGATGGTTGGAAATATTAGATTTAAAAATATCAAAAATATACAGTGGTGCCTTGACTGACAAACGTTCCGGCTAACAAACACCAAGAAAATCGAAAAAATGAATTGCCTGGATAACACTAACCTACCTAACAAATGTATTTTCCTGCTGCATTTGACTTGAGTTTTGTTGTAAAAATTTTTTTGGGCACTATAAACTGATTAAAGTTGAAAGTGCTTGTTAAGTAATTGCCTTTACATCACTATATTCACTACTGGGGTTTTTCAAAGCCAAAAAAGCTTAAAAATGTGGTTTATCACTTGTTTTTGTATGTACTGTATTTTCATTTTAAGTTCAACTTTTGTTTTTCTTTTGATATGCATAGGCATACATGGAATAATGCACGTTCATATAAATTGAAGCACTATACAGTAGGAATCATGTGAATTCTGACGGGGTGCTGAATCACAAGTTTATGTTCACACAAACTTTCTTCAATAAAAAAGCCAAATGAGAAGATTTAAGAATTTGGTGCCTTCAAAATCGTAAATCCTTCTTCATTTTTTACAACATTTGTTCATTTTTGGGTTATGATCATCTATAACAACAAATTGATGAGAGATGAGCACCAGATTTAATTTGCTCAAACGTTTGTGTCAATAATTTGCAGGACTTTTCAAGAAACCTGTAGTAACCTCATTTCAATGAAGTGCAGATGTGCTTTTCATCATTTTAATAAAAGGAAACTCAACCATTTGATGGCAAGAGGAAGAAAATACACCCTGAACTGCTTTAATCTGCCAGATTTTTTTCATTTAACGAATTTTCTTTGTACTGTACAAAATTTGTTGAACAACAATTTAAAAATAAAAATTTCACTACAAACACTTTGTTCATAATGCAAACAAGGGTGTGCATTTACCTGTGTTTGTAGTACAAATTTTGTTTGTTCTGTGAGGGTGAAATTTCTTTTGAAAATATTTGTTGTACAGGATGTTTGTGCTATGAGATTGAGGCATTTGTATTATGAGGTACCATTTTACCTTAAGGGAAGAAGTGTCTTGCCTGACACACAAGGTGTGGGAATGAATGGTGTCTGCTAGGCGAGGCACCACTGTACTCCCAAGCTTTGAAAGATTCTCCATACATTCCTCATTCTATTCAGGATATGTCCCACCTTCCAGCGTTGTATCTCCGTGGTTTGATCCATTCACTGCATCAAAATCTGGTCGACCCTATGAAAGTTCGGAAGTGACGTGCAGTGATCGAAGCAATGGAAAGTGATTGAGGAATATTGTTAGTCACGCGGCTGTAGCAAAGCTTTCAGGGAAATATATCAGAGTTCTACCAAACCGTGGAATTTCTTCCATTTACTGCGGTGTCGTCCATGATGCGTGCAAGTTTCGGTGAGACAGGATTGTGATTTTCAGGTCGAAGCTACTATACATTTCGCCTTCAACTGCTGTGTGACGGGTTCATGTGTTCCGGAGATGTGCTCACCGCGATCAACATCCTTTACTTCTAAGTACAGTGCGGATTTCTCGGGATGATTTTCTTGTACCTCAATTATTGAGCTTCATCATAGCACGAAGCATCAATTTGTGTGAACTTCGAGATGAATTATTCGTCACATACATTCAAGATTAAAAAATTATTTGAGCAATACAGTATGTGGTCACGGAAAGCTCTTTATACGATGTGTGCTCCTGGAGCAGGTTTGCCAATTCAAGAATTGAAACTGTTCCAATTTATTCTTTGTCTCCCTGATGCTTTGTTCCGCGACAAAGCATGCAAATCCAAGTGTCAATTTTCCAATTCCAAGGTGACTTAATTCTCTAGAATTTGTTTTTTGCTTCAGGATGATGACAATGGTGATGTGGACAGTGTTCATTTTTATTTTTCCTGGTGCATTGTCATTCGCCTGCATGGATGAGGAAGGCCAAGCTGTTGACTGGTAATCCGATCTTTCTCTCTCTTTGAAGACTCACGATTGATATCCGCAAAAACATTTCGCAGGTGGGTTGCTTACAAGCTGCCAAAATTGAAGACGTTGGCTGATAACAACGTTCAGGATGGTCATGCGTATGCATATTTCACCGCGAAGGATGTTTCTTATAACTGGGGACTGGACAAACCAGGATTTGTTGCACGACCTCCGAAGAATGGCTGGATGTTGTCTTCCAAATCAATAGGAGATGTGGATAGTTTAATTGGTCGAACATTGGATCCGCTGTATTCGAATGCTTCAAAATCTCAATTTGTTCTCCTGTACAACGATGAATTTCCAAATGGTACCGTGAGCTTCACAAAGGGTCATACGAAAGGAGCTGTTGTGATGGATGATCATGGTTCTGGATTTTGGCTAATACATAGTGTTCCGCACTTCCCTCCAAAGCCAGAAGATGGGTTCGGGTATCCAGCTTCTGGCAGAACCTATGGTCAAACTTTGTTTTGTGTATCTTTTGCCGGTGGGGAATCCCCGGAAACAATTGGTAGGTACAGTAGTAAGTTTGTGTCATCATCCCTCGGTTAAACACGGAAATTTACTTTTCAGGAAAGCAATTGACTGTCAACGAGCCTTTCATCTATTTCAAGGATATCCCAGCCTGGGTGCAATTGCGGTTTCCTTCCATGTTTGAGGCTGCGGGAGGAAAGAAAACCACGACTGCAGGACCCGTCAGTCAAATTTTGGAGCTTTTCACAAGTTCTGGGATGTCAATGACTAGCTTTGCAAAATCACATTCATTTAATCAGGGTAAGTGCGGAGTTCTTAGTGTTTTTGTCAACATTTTTATTTATTTTTTATTTACTTTTAAGATTTGTATTCGGAGTTGGTTGCGCCAGCTTTGAGATCTGAGTTGATTGCTGAAACTTGGCGTCACGGAGAAGGTCTTCTTCAGAGCAATTGCAGTACAATATTCAAGTGAGCCAAATATTGCTTGAATTTTGTTTGTCATTACTTTTCAAGTGTGTACTTTCAGAGTTTTGAATGCGGAAAACTTGCTCTTCCAAAATATCAATGTTGGGTTCAGCTCTGAAAAAGACCACGCGAAGTGGGCAATTTCTTCAGATTCATCAAATCCCTGGGTTTGTGTCGGAGACATAAATCGATCAGTAAGTCGTATTTGATCTATAATTCTATATTTTTAAAACGAAATTTTTTCTGAAACAAATTTGTCAACAGAAAACCCAGTTTTTGCGTGCTGGTGGAACTCTGTGTTTCAGGGAAAGAATCGTCTGGCTGTGGTTTGATGCCATTCTATCTGGTATTGAGGATTGCCCCGTGTAAGGAAACATACTTCTGTGGACTTCATGAACAAAGAATCTCGAGTGACGATCTCATACAATTTGTTTTTACAATATTTGAAGTTTGAAGCAAGGTGTTGTTCTTAATTGTGTATTTCTAAACGTGATTGTCGTCTGACGAACTGGCCTCGTGTTCCTGTCAAGTTCAAAAAATTTTAGTCTCTGTCGTGTGTGAATTCGAAACTTGTGATGCTTCAGCCTTTCCAATTGAAGAAGAGATCAACAATACCTTGGACAAAATGCTTTCATGAGTTTGATGATCCGTTGAAGGGTGAGTTGCAGTTGATCAAGAACTATTCGATGCAATTCTGGATTCAGATTCTCGGCGCAGTTATTTTTGTTATTATTTTTGTATGTATTTTGTATTGCCTTCATTTTGGTCACATGCATGTTTAATGCAAAAAGAACTGGCTGCTCAACTGTATGTTTCTTTGTAGATGACATTGATGATGTGGCTCTGAAAACTCTGAATGGGTTGCGCAGGAAAATCTGGAAATGGGTTGACAAGACGTTTGGCAAAAATGTATCCGCGCTCAAGAGGACATTTTCCTCGATGTCTTTGACCTCTTCTCTTCAGAATCTAACAGTTCCTAGTCTCTCAGAGCAAACTCCTTTTGAAATTGAGCAACGTCCGCAAAAACGTTGTAAGTTGGCCGAGATTGCCTCCGAAGCACTGGGAAATGTCCATTTTGAAAACGCTTGTCAGGATAAAACTGTGTCCTGCTCTGATGGACTTCACGAGAAGCAGCTGGAGTGTGAAGTTTTGAATTCACAAGGTGTTGTTCCGAGCTCTGAAGAAGTGGATCGCCACTGTTCTGCAAAGGAAAATTCATATGAATCACTCACATTAAGCAGTAACTCGAGAAGCGTTTCCTCGGAGAACTTGAGAGGACTTGAAGAAACCCGGTCACTTTCATTCGTGTCTGAAAATCAGACTGCTTCTGCAGCTGATTTCCTTCAGCAAACAATCTCGCACGCGTCAATTGAGCTGGACTCCGAAATTTGGTCAGCTGCTGATAGTAAGCCGGCAGATAATCCTGAATTCTGTTGAATATAAAAAGGAAAACCTTAGAGCATAATTTTTTGACTCTCTCTGATCAATGGTGTATTTCGAAATGATTTAGAAGAATTACAATTCTGTTGGTGTTTCTCTTTTATTTGAAAGATGAACATTTTGCACAAAGCCGTTGAGATAATGGGTGCTCGCACCATTGTCCCTATGTCAGAATGTCCTGTACAGAAGATAACGGCGTGAAAAAAAGAGAATCTTATCTTTTGGCATGTGAAGGAGCTCAAGAAGCAAACAATAAGCACAAGTCTTGCGATACCGTGCACAGGCAATGAGCAAAAAAAAAGCACAGAATTAACCTATTGAGTAGTATGATGAAATGTATGTATCAAATGAAATTTATGATACAGTATAGGCTTGTATTAGTGGATTTATAATATAATTCATTTTCATCTGTGAAGGTAAATAAATTACTCTAGCTGAATTTGTTGAAGAGATGTCATAATCATTGAAAACAAAAATTGTATGCGCATTTTCTGGACACTTCAGCTGTGTTTGTACCTTGAGACATTGTCTGCATGTTGGGGCAGATTTGTTCAGTTTCAAGTGTTCCGAAGTCAAATTGTGTGGGCGCTGGGGTGTCTGCTACGTATCTCAGGGTCCCACTGTTTAGAGCTATTCGTCATGGAGGAGTTAAATCGTGTGGTTTAGATATGCAACATAATTCTAGGTGCAGAGGAACCCATTCTACTGCCATAGAAGAGGAATACTGTATGATTTCACAAGCCATTATGTATGATGGTTTTATCCTTAGATGTGTGGAATTATAGGGATTCAGCTCTTTTTGCAGGATCTCAAGCTTGTCAGTTGGCCTGTAAAATGTCATATGTGGTGAAGTGGGAGCCTTGATTGTCACTGGAAAATGTCCAAATATGTATTCAGTATTCAGGCATTATTTCAAGTGTTGTAAGGTTTTCTTCTCTTGGGCAAAAATTGTAAAGGGAGAATATATTGTAGCCTCACAACTGCTGATGAAGCATCAATTCAGCAAACCATTTTTGCGCTCAACCTCATGTTCTTGCAAAATCAACAAAATGTATATAATAGTCTCCAAGAAGTTGAAGCATTACCGTATTTACAGTACTGTATAATCATATTACAGTACAACAAATCTTGTAACAACTTTATTTTTCAGGTTGCTGTCCAACAGCAACAATGTTATTCAGATTGGTTTATTTAAAAACTTCATCATCGTAAAAAAGCATTTTCCCAGCTGCAACAGCTCTTCAGTAAGAAACATTTTCTGCTTCATATTTCAAAGGGACTCAGAAGTAACTGTCCTTGATGACCCTTTCATGAGTGTAAGAGTTTATGTTGACCAAATTCTTATATCAGAAACTTTTGCTGAGATTTTGTTGAAAACGATTGGCCCATTGCTGCTATGATCCAAGATATATTCTGAGCATCCTTCCTTAGCAGAAGGAGAAGAGTTCATCTGACATATCATTACAGTATTTCTTGGAATGTTCAAAGCTGCTTCCTTCAACTCTGGCGTAGAAAATACAGCCGCGGACCCACGGTTTCCATTGCATGAGGAAATCCTATGTCAGATGAGTAAGTTCTTAACTTCCTTTTCTGGGTGAAGAAGTTTTAATTGTAAATGTGAATTCCTGGTTGTTCTTTTCTCTTTTAACCGGAAAATGTCTTTAAGTGCCTTTTAAGCAAATGGGTAGATGAGGCGAGAAAGGGGTCCACAGATAAGAACAGTACCGTGGACGCCCTTCCTTCTGGACACAAATTCGTACAGTACTGTACCCTCTGAGTCTGCCTCCTTCAAGGTAATCGCCATGTTCAAGGCCATGGCATTACTACCGATCAATCCTGTCAAAAATATAGTATCCAACATATCTTCCTAAGCTGTGTAAGATTCTTCAACGGATGTCGATCAATACAGGGCTTGCCCCATCTCGCATGATTGGATCTCCGCGCTTTGGGCCATTCCCTCCAACGAAATTCGAGGTACTCCAGGAAGGTGACCAGACATTATGGTACACTTTCAAACTCGACGCAACTCATTTCCACGCTGCCCCTCCAGAGGGCTATTCCCTACCACTCCATCCCTCAACACCAAAAATGAGTGACTTCATGAACTGCGCATGCTTGCAGATACG